TAAATAACAGGCCAAACGGACAGAATATTTCCGGCCCGTTGAGAGTGCAGGATCCGAGTCATCTAGACTGATTTCCCTACTGAGAGGCGCACTCGAAGGAGATTTAAACTGAAATCTTCCATCATTAGGCTTGGTCTCTCCCTCTATCTTTTTTTTTTAATTTGCAATATTTATTTGTGGCATTGGGGACTGTTAAGTTTTCCTTTGTCATACAGATTTTAATTTTGGAAACTTGGCATCTTCCTCCAAACTTCTGTGTTTTCTAAGTTTGCATGGCAGTTGGGGGTCTCTTAAGATTTCATATGAGTTTTAGGATGGTTTTTCCCGTTTCTGCAAAAAAAGGATATTAAAATTTTGATGGGGATTGCACTGAATTTGTAGATCACCTTGGGTGCTGTGGACATTTTAACAATATTAAGTTTTCCAAGCCATGAACATGAGACATCTTTCTAGGTATTTGTGTCCTTGATTTCGTTCAGCAGTGTTTTGTAATTGGCCATTTATAGGCCTTATACCTGCTTGGTTAAGTTTAGTCCTAAGTATTTTTTTTTTTTTTTACATGGGATTGTTTCTTAGTTAGTTAGTTAGTTAGTTATTTGAGGGAGAGAGAGGAGCAGAGGGAGAGGGAGAGAGAATCTCAAGCAGATTCCCTGCTGAGCAAGGAGGCTGACGTGGGGCTCCATCTCATGACCCTGAAATCATGACCTGAGCCGATATCAAGAGTTGGACGCTTAACCGACTGTGCCACCAGGTGCTCCAAATGGGATTGCTTTCTTAATTTCCTTCTCAGATCGTTCGTTGTTAGTGTATAGAAGTACAACCTATGTTTGTATGAATTAGATTTAATACTTTTTATTGCTATCTTAAGTGTAATATTTTCCCCCTTTTCCATTTTTAGATGATTGTTGTTAATCTAGAGAAAAAGGTTTTGTAGATTTATGCTGTATTCAGCTGTCTTATTTACTCTTTTTTTTCCCCCACAAACTGGAGCCTCTTGGGTTTGGAAGGTGTCAAACCATCAACAACAGGAAATGTATATGTTTTTTCCAATGTTCACACTAATTATGGAATTTCTTGGTCTTATTGCACTCATTAGAACTCTAAGACAATGTGGAATAAATGGTGATAGGCGCCCTCCCTGTCATGTCCCAATTTAATTGAAATGGTTTGAATGTTTTACCATTTATAATAATATTCTTGCTGTCTTTTCTATAAAAATCTTTTATTTATTTTTATTATTTTTATTTTTATTTTGGCTTAGTATTTTAATGATGGCCGAATCCTATGAAGTTCTGTTCAGCGTTTATTGATATGATACCACATATTTTTTCTTCTTTAATTGGTCATGTAATGGATCATGTTGGTCTATTTCCTGATATAATAATTATACTTGCATTTTTGAGGTACACCTATATGGTTGTAATATATTATTAATCTCTTAATGTGCTGTTGATTCTATTTGTCATTTTTTTTTTTTTAACTTATTTTTGGGGTGCCTGGGTGGTTCAGTAGGTTAAGCATCTGCCTTTGGCTCAGGTCATGATCCCAGGATCCTGAGATCACGATCAGAGCCGAAATCAAGTCAGCTGCTTAACTGACTGAGCCACTCAGGGACCCCTAAATTAAATCTTTAAAAAAATATTTTATTTTTTAAGTAATCTCTCCACCCAACGTGGGGCTTGAACTCACAACCCCAAGATCAAGAGCTGCACACTTCACCGACCAAGCCAACCAGATCTGTAAATATCGATTTATAATTTTTGCATCTATATTCATAGTGATATTGACTTGGGGAATTTAGTGTTCTTTATTTTGGGGTATTATCTTTATCAGTTTTGTATTAAGGCTGTTTCTTTACAACATGAATTGGGAGAAATTTTCCTATAACTTGTAATCTCTTATTAACACTGAAATTATATATTCTTTAGGAGTGTGATAAAAAGACTTGTGAATACAATTGGTCCCCGTGTTTTTTTATTTTTTGTCTTTTTTTTTTTTAGTGGTAGATCTTTAATTATCTTTCCAATTTCCTCATGAGAATAGGTCTATAGAAGTCTTCAATTTCAGGGCGCCTGGGTGGCTCAGTTGTTAAGCGTCTGCCTTTGGCTCACGTCATGATCCCAGGGTCCTGGGATTGAGCCCTGCATCGGGCTCCCTGCTCAGCGGGGAGCCTGCTTCTCCCTCTCCCACTCTCCCTGCTTGTGTTCCCTCTCTCACTGTGTCTCTCTGTCAAATAAATAAATAAAATCTTTAAAAAAAAAAAGAAGTCTTCAATTTCTTGGGTCAGTTTTGTTAATTTTTTTTGGTCAGGAAATTATTCATTTCGTCAAGTTTTTCAAATTTGTTTCTATAAATTCACATGAAATATTCTCTTACAATTTTTCTAGTCTTTTTTATAGTTATATTTCTTTCCTCATACTTTATCTTGTATATTTTTGTTGTCTTTATTCTTTTATTGGGTTCTTTCTGGATTTATTTACTTCCTTGGTCTTTTCAAGGAACAGATTTTTGAATTTATTTGTGCTTCCTACCATTTAAAATTTTCTAATTAACTTCAGCTTTGATCTTTATTAATTTCCTATCTCTGGTTTCTTTCATTGCTTTTTCTAATTTCTTTTTTTATTAACATATAATGTATTCTTTATTTCAGTGGTACAGGTCTGTGATTGCTTTTTCTAATTTCTTAAAATGGGTAGTAAATTACTATATTTTTTGGTAATGAAAAAATTCAGTCTATTCATTTTTTTCTGAGGATAGCTTTTATTTTAAAGCCACTTTTTAAAAAAGATATGTTTATTTTAGAGAACGAGAGAGAGTGGGGGAGGGGCAGAGGGAGAGACTCTTCAAAGCAGACTCCCTGCTGAGCATGGAGCCCAATGCAGGTCTCAATCCCACAACCCAAGAGATCATGACATGAGCTGAAACCAAAAGTCAGATGCTTAACCAGCTGAGCCACCCATGCACCCCAAAGCCACTTTTTCTAAACGGCCCTTAAGTCAAGCCACTTAGTCAATTTTTTTTTATAGGTAAACTCTACTCCCAACATGGGCTTGAGCTCATAACCCTGAGATCAAGATTTGCATGTTCTGTCTACCAAAGGAGCCAGCCAGGTGTCCTTCTCAGTATAGCTTTTGCTGTGTTCTCTAGATGTGAGTTTGAAATTACATCACTTAGGGCTCATTCAGCTATAAATAACAAAATATTTGACTAACAATGACTTAAATGATGCAGATATTTATTATCTTATTTAAAAGGAAGATTGGAGGTAGGTATTTCTAGGGTAGATATTATTTCAGTGGCTTAACAATGTTATTGGAGACTCATGCTTTTTCTGGCTTTTTGCTTCATCATCCTCAACATGTTGGCTCTTTGTCCTCATGTGCATCATCTTATGGTTGCAAAATAACTGTCACATGTTCTCTCCCACTCACAGGCAGGAAAAACAAGGGAGGGACAGGGCAATGAGACCCTACTTGCCTGAAATGTCTTTAAGAAGCAAAAACAAAACCAAGAGCTCTCCTAATAGATATTTTCTTACATTTGATTGGTCCTAACTGGCCACTCCTAGCTTCAAGAGAGGCTAAAAAAGTGGCAAAGGGGGAATAGGATTACATGGCAGGCCTGAGTCAGTTTCCAATCATTTTCCCTTTACGTATGTATTTGGCTGCTACCTTGTTTGGTACATACAAGTTTATGATTATTTTATTCTTTCATTGTTCCTTTGTGCCATTATGCTAAGTCCCTCTTTAACCTGTTTGATTCATTAAAGTGTACCTTGTATGATAGTGTCACTATTGCTTTCTTCTTAAATTTTGATTTGCCTGGTATCTTTGTTTAACCCTTTTATTTTCAATCTGTTTCCTTTTTTTTTTTTTTAAGAGTGCTTCTTGGAAATAGCATGGAAGAATTTGTTCTGTTCATATTTAGTGTAATACACTTGATTTTACTCTTTTCATCTTATACCATGTTAATTTTTTTTTGAGAGAGAGTGTGTGCATACGTGAGTGGGGTGGGGGGTGGCAGGGAGGGGCAGAGAGAGGGAGAGAGAGAGAATTTTAATCAGGCTCCACGCCCAGCACAGAGCCTGTCTCGGGGCTTGATCTCATGGCCCTGAGATCATGACCTGAGTGGAAATCAAGAGTCTGATGCTCAACGGACTGAGCCATCCAGGTGCCCCTGCTGTGTTCATTATTTATTGTCACTCCTTTCTTCTTCCCTTTTCCCCATTCTGGGCGGGGGTGTTGGCAGTAGAGGCAGCCAAGGCAGGGGCTCCAGGTCAGTGCCCAGCTTCCAAGTGTGGCTGATGTGGGGGGGGTGCATGCTGCCATGGGCAGCACCATCTTCATCAGACCAGCTCTGCAGCATAGTTTGGGGCCTCCTTCCTGGCTTGGAAGCCTCCAAATCTAGCTCTCCCTCTTTCCTAGAGCTTCGAGGAGCCACCCAACATCTTTTTAACAATTTTTTTTTCTTGTTTTAATCGGCGGGAGTTGGTGCTTATTGCTTCAATGAAGAACACCGAATAACACTGTTCAACTGGTTTTATTTATCCCCCCAAGCAATTCAATGAGCAACTGCATGCACTCAACAGTTTTATCTTATTTATTTAGACACACGGTAGATACTCAGAAGGAACAGAAAATATTGGGATGACAAAATGATCCAACTATTCTAGACTTTAGAGGGAATTCTCAAATACATTTTTTTCTTGGTGCAGTAGGATAAAAAGTCCTTTATACTCATTTTTTTTTGTGTGAGGGAAAGTCCTGATCTCCCTTTTAGAAAATAACCCAAGTTTTACAGACCTAAAAATTATTTTTATCTTTTCAGTTATAAAAATACATATCCACTTATTTTAAAAAAAAAAAGGAACAAAAGAATGAAGGAGGCAAAGACTCGGGGGAGGTTCAGGTGTGCCTGTGGAACTCACAAGTTGCTCCCCAAAGTCAGCAGTTTATGAAGCATTGAGATGCTGCAGGGACGGGGTAGGCGACTGATGGTCATCAAAGATGCAAATTTCTGAATTCATTCTCTAAATCATTCTGCGGCTGCTGAGAGAGAAACAGAATAATTAGAAGTGTCATTGGCAGCCAGCAGTGCGGGGAGCAAGCGAAGGAGAGGGGACATGAAGAGCTGGGTCAAAGAGGGCCAGGGAGGTCTTGAGGGAACCAGAAAACAGACAAGATCCTAAGAAAAGGGAGACAAGGAAGGAACTGGGAGCCCCTGTTGGGGTGAGGGGAAGGGTGTTGGGAGAAAAGAGAAAGGTGTGGGGGGACAGTGGGGACAGAGAGCAAGGGGGCGCTGGAGCTGGGATGAGGAGGGGAGGGGGGGCCAGGCGCCTGCAGCAGGGACAGCTTCTCACCTTGAGGATCTTCTGGAGCCGACGGGTTATGTTTTTACTGTACTGTTCCAGCTTGTTCCAGGGCTGGAAAGGCTTGCCCTGGTTGTCCACAAACTCCTTCCAGCAGTCCTCAAACTCTGAGATGAAGAGGGAAGGCAGTCAGGCCCCAGGGGCAGGAAAGCCACAAGCGTGCACCCTGCAATTCCAGGGACCCCTCCTTCTTTGCCCTTCCTGGTGGTGTCACAGCTTGGGCCTCAGCTGGGCCACCACCTTTTGGTCCAGCAAACCCCTCCCCTCCCCCAGTGGCTTTTCCATCTTGGAGCTGCAAACCCTCCCATCCCCTGACAGCTTTGCCCTCTCCCTACCCAGGGAGCTCATGACAGCCACTGGGATCCCGGATGCGTGCAGATGCTTCAGCCCCTGCTTATTCTCCTGGAGCCAGTGGAAATACAGGCGGGAGGCAAAGAGCCGCAGGCTGATGTGGCTGTGTTTTCTGGCAAATGCAACCAGTTCCTTCGCACAGGTGGGGCAGGGGCTCCACGTGACATAGCAGGTGATTTCAAATCTCTGGTCTTTTTCCAGTTTTCGTGCCATGATATTGTCAATAAAGCGAATTTCTGCATGGCGCTTCTTCTAGGGAGGGTCCCAGATAGAAGAAAGGTCACATACTGAGGGCACCACTGGGGATAAGGGGCTCTGCCCTGTGAACTTGCCTAAGATGGGGAAAGAACCTTCCTCCTTTCACTCATCCATTGATTCAGCACCCCAAAGCATCTGCAGCTTGATCTGAATCAGACCCAACCCCCTGGGAGAGATGGGTTGGCAGACAGACATCCCCATGGCACCATTCCCAGATGGTCGGCAGACCTTGCCTTTTGGACATCAGGAGATGTTAGAACGTGGGGTTCCCAAGGAGCAGGTCAGAATGGGAGGGAGGCAGGATGGGGCAGGTGGGAAGGGGGGGTAGAAAAGCAGAGGGCAAGTGTATGAGGGAGTTCTTGGAGGTGGGGTTGAGCGCTCAGTCCTTGGAAGACCGCTTGGCTTCTCAGAAGCAGCGACTGAACTGACATCCAGAGGACAAGGAAATATATTCTCAAAGAGGGGCAGAAAGAGTGTTCTGCTGGAGGGAAGAGCTTCTGCAGAGGCCCAGGGACGGGAAAACCATGGAGAGTTCCCGGGAAGCAGGGCTAACAGACCCAGTTAAGCCTCGGTATTTTCCCCACCGGCCCTGTGTCCAGACAGCCCGCCTGGCACCTTGTTTTGAAGGCAGACTTTGGCTGTTATGTGGCCTTCATGTGTCTTCAGCTGGTAGCACAAGTAGGTCTTCCTCCGGTGGTAGGGCTTTGGGGCCCGGGGCTGGTTGCCGAACTGATAGAAGAATATTTCTTGTTGTAGTGGACTCATTGTGGTTCTGCACAAGAGGAAGAAAACCAAAGATGCAGAGAGCATCTTCTGGTGTCACCCCAGGCTCTGTCACCTTCTGAACCCAACTCCTTGGTCCACTTGGGCCCCTGGGGTGGGGAGGGAAGGGACATTCTCCTCTTTCCTTGTTGTCCAGGACGGCTGAGAAGAAGGAAGGAAGAGGGTGAGCTCTCCCACCTGCACACAGCCCCACCTCCGGTCTGGGGGAGCACCCACCATGCCCACACTGAAGGGCATTGCAGGCAGGGTGCCTTGGGCTGGCTGGGGGGCCCCACCCTGCGAACTTGACATCAGAACTTTTTGGCTCACCCATCTCTGTCCTGTGCCCCAGACCCCTCTGTTCAGGTCCCACGGACATCTCAACCCTGATGTCCAATGCCACAACCCTTCTCTTTGGGGACGGAGGGGCTGCACTGGTAATTCTTCTAACTCTCTGCTCTTTGCTTAGGCGTGGGCATCACAATCTTAACTGCCTGTACAAAGCACAGAGAGGCTGGTGAACAGGAAAAACTGTTGCCACCAAGGGAACGTTGTGACAGAGACTTTGGCTAAAGGTCAAATAGCTTTTCCTCCCCCCAGTTGTGATTATACTCTAGAGAGTATTCCATCTTGTATCTTGCTTGTTTTTCAGTTGCAGAGTGACCTGGCTCATGTAGGCTTGCGTGCACGGGATTCTTTTTGATAAACGCTGTCGGCTCTGCAAAGATACAAGTAGGGGGACAGAACGAGGAGCCCTCCTGCCTGCCCCAGAGTGGTGCATGAGAGCTCCAACCAGCGGAGCCCCACTGAGTGTGGACATTATTGACCAAGCAGATGCCAAACAGTCTGAACGAGCTGGGGAAGCTTGATGGGGCCCCAGCCCACTCTCCTTCTGGACACTCCACCCAAAGCTAACGTGACCTGGCTGACCACTGAGTCTGGCTCAGGTGACCACAGACGCTTGGAACCAGACACAGGAATCAAGCCAAGGGTGTCATTCCTCAGAGCAGAGACTACGGGATACCGTGTTCCTGCAAGGCCAGAAATGTTTTCCCCATATTTCCAGCCAACTTGTTGAAACACCACAGATTCTATCAACAAAAGACCATTTCTGTCATCTGTTATGCTAATTAACAAAGCCACTAATTTCATCAATGGAAACCCATCTCTGATACCCCTTATGCTAATTAGTAAAGCTTCAGGTGCATTTTGATGACTGTCATTTAAAAGCCATCTCTGAGTTGTGGCCTTGGATTACCGGCCAGTGACCTCACCTGAAGCTGCTACTCTCAGGGCATCTGGTTGCCCTCAGCATGAAGATTAGAACAGAAACATCCATTCATAGCACACTTAGGACAACCAACCGCCCCGTGGCTTCCCAATTTTAGCACTGAAGTTCCCACGTCCTGGGAAACTCCCCAGTCCCTGGTAAACCGGACACTCAAGGCTGAACTATTTCAAATTTTAGACAAGTGCACTGTCTTAATAGCACAAGTGTTAAAGCTTGACCTTGAATAGCTAAAATTGAGGGATGATAGAAACAACTCGTAAGAAGCATTTAAAGCCTAATTTAATTTTTCACACTTGGTAGTGTCTTCATGGGAAACAATTTATCTTCTTGTCTTGGAGATGATTTTTCCCTCCACAGAACAGAAATGAAACCATCCACAGAACTAAGTCTGCAGAAAGCCACCCGCAGTTAAAGATTGCTGGGAAAATGCCGGAGGGAACTTAGAGGATGCTTTGCTTAAGATGATGAACATTACCCGGGGAACACCGTCTATGTGGTCATCATAGCCGCGAGGTGCTTGGCTTCTACAAACAAAGCAGCATCACTGATGCGCACTGCTGAGCTGGTCTTCAGACCTGGACCAGGGAAGCAGTAGGACCACTGACCACAGTCTGGATGAAACCAGACCGGTTGGTACCAGAAAGACAAGTTAATCAATGTTGAAGTTTACCTAATCCCCAATCAATCAGAAGAACCTATGAGCCTGGACCGCCAGCCCTGAATTTTTGCCCTTAAACACCCTTACTTGCAAACCATCGAGGAGTTTAGGACCTTTGAGCGTCGGCTCCCAGTTCTCCTGGGTGGCACCACACCAGCAACTAGCCTGTATCTTCAGCACAGAAACCCAGTGTCAGTTCATTATTGGCTTCCTGAGCATCAGGCAGATGAACTCTTGCTCAGGTCGGTTACAGAAATTAGAGCATCCTTTGCAAAACTGTGCAAGTCTTTAAAATAAAATGTATAAATATGCTTTTATAGCTGACTCCAACAATTGTCTCAGTCATCCTTGAATCTAAAGTCTATAACTAAAGTCTACTTTAGCTTAAATAAAGTGCTAAATTTAGGAAGACCCAGGGGCCACACCTAGGGGATGGGCCACGGAGGCAGAGACAGGATGTGGAGGCAGCAGGGGTGGGGGTGGGGGGTTGGGGAGATGGGCACCTGCCCAGGCGGTGCCCGCAGGTCAGAGGCAGGAACAGACCCTGCGGATGGAACGATGAGGTGTCAGAGAGGGAGAGAAGTGGGGCTGGGAGGAGGAAGGAGGCAGAGAGCCAAGCGAGCAGTGGTACTTGGTCCCTGCAGCCCTGTCCCACGCTCCTTGGCAGGCTCGTCCCATCCTGGCCTGAGCCCTGGGCTCTCCAGCTTCACTTCCCTCTCACAAGGCTGCTCTTGGCCTTGGGAAAGCCCCGTTATCTGTGAGTGTCCTCCCACAGTAGTCTGAGTGGTGGACCCACCCTCTTCCTGCCAGACAAAAGCTGGGGTGGGAGGCCCTAGCTTGATTGTGCTTCTTTGGACTCCCACCCACCTTCTTTCCCCCCCCCGACTTACCTGACCTTGGGAGTTCCGGGGTAGCTGCCTCTCCTCAGCTGGCTTGTCCCAGCCCTGCCCTTTGTCTGGGGCACCAGGGCTCCATTCTTTTCGCTGGCCTTGCTTTGGGAAAGCCCCAATCTGGAGTGACCTCCCCGGGCTGCTGGCTGCCTCCCTGGATGCCCCACCTCCTTCCTGCTTTGCTTCAGGGGTGGGAGGGCCCTCGGGTGGTTGCACTTCCTTGGGCTCAGACCCACCTTCTCTCCTTCTCTGAGACGCCCCGCCCTGGGCAGAGCCGCCCTCGGGTGGGGCAGCAGGACCAAGTTATTGCAAAGAGAAAGAGAAAGTAGGATATGCCCGAGGGGGTTGGGAGAGCCTGGCTGGAGAGAGCTGGACGGAGGCTGGCTTCTGGGGAGGGGCAGGCTCTCCGAGGAGTGGAGTGAACCCTTTCCTCGTTACCCCTGTGTTGCCCTTAGGAGTCATTCACTATCCTGTCAGGACTCTCTCTGGGCATCTGGAAAGTGAGGTCTACAGGTCAGATCTTCATCTCCAACCCTGGAGAAGGCAGGTGTGTTGAGCAGTTCCTATACTCCATCCTCTACCACAGCCCCCAGTAGCGGGGTAGGAAGGGGCCTATCATTATCCTGACATCTTCGATGAGGTCCCAGCACAGAGAGGCTAAGCTACTCTCTGGGGCCACACAGCAAACCAATGGCAGAGCTGGAATGCCTTCCAGGGGCACTGGCCTGGCTCCTCCCACTTCCTCAGTGTTCCATGAGTAGGAGGGATCTTGCTGCCCCCACAAGGCCTCCCAGGTCAGGAATCAGGGACCTGGACCTGAAGTGTGCGTCCTGAAAGCTATCCTCTTGCCTTGTCACATGTCCACCAAGAACCCCGGATGGAAAAACAAAGAGCACCTGGGGAAAGTTGAATTCTAGAGAGGGGGGCTTAGAGCAGCCGCCGGCCACCCCCAGTCCAGACCGCATGCATATATCAGTCCCCGAACTTCTCCCAGCTGGTGGCCCCCGCCATGCACACCTCATTTTTCCCTACGGGCCCTGGGATGGCCCCAAGGGGGTAACAAGAGCACGGGCAAGAGTTGGAAGATCTGAGGGAACGGCGTCCCCTCCACACCTGTCTGTTCTCATATCCAGAGGCCCCTGAAGGAGGTTCCAGAATGAGAACCTGGGCTCGGGCCCTTCCAAGAGAGTGATCAGATCTGCGTACTCAGGTGTTGATCAAATTGACAGCTAAGACGCCTCTGGCCAGAGAAGCAGGAAGGCTGAATTCTTGCTAGCCGTCAGAGATGGGCAGAGAACGGGGATGTGCAAGAGCGGGACGGTGACTATTTTGGAAGAAATGTCCTGAAGGCCCCCACGGATCTCTAAGACTGGCCTTCTGCATGGTTCTTTTCTCCAGAAGGAGGGGATATTTCGAGCAGGCCACTTTGGCCCGTTTTGACGACGCGGGCGGTCGAGAGGTGTGCCGTCCACAGGTGCCTCTCTGTGCCTCCCTGCGTGAGGCTGCACGGGCAGGGAGAGCAGCAGGGCAGACTGGGCGGGGGGCAGCCCGAGCCCTTCTGCGTTCTCCCCTTGGCCCCCAGGCAGCAGGACAGACAGGGAGCCGCGGGGAGGGCCAGGGGTCTGTGGCCACCAACAAGTCACACCGAGCCGGCCAAGATCAGAGGGAGAAATGGCTGGTCTGAATGGGACCTGGCACATTCTCCACAATGATTTTAGGGATGTCCTCCAAACCGACCACCCGCCCTCTTGCTTCTCCTGCCTCTGCCTGCCCAGAATCCCGCCGTCTAGGGCTGACCTCTTCCTCCTTTTCACCGTGCCCTGGTCCAGGCCGGCCCATGGACCACGGCCGCCGACCTCCCCCCCAGTATGTTCACGGGGTCGTTGGCTCTGTGGTCAAAGAACCGGATGGTCCCTGTCTTACCTCGACGGCTCGTGCTTCCCTGTCTCCTGACTTGACTCTTGGCCACCTGCCACTTTTGATTCCGCTTTTTTGGAAAAGTTCTGATGATCTCAGTCCTCCCATACCCAAGCCTACATTTAAAAAAACCTCAAAAACTTATTTAAATGTAAACTCACTCTCCATTGCTGTCTCCAGGCTGCCACCTGCCCAGAGCTTCCCCTCTGGCAGCAATGTGGGAAGGGGATAAGGGACATGGGAGTGAGGGCAGGTGTGATGGTGACCTGGTGGGAGGCGGTGGCGGTGGGGGGGGAGGGGTCCAGGGCAGCAAGGATTGGAAGGGAAGCACGTTGCGGGGGGCGGGGGGCGGGTGGGGGCAGCTCAGGCATAACCCAGGAGACAGATATGCAGAATAAGGATCCTGGTTTTGCCCCACGCCTTCAGCTCAAAAAGGCCCTGGGTCATTGTCTGGGCTGAACCGTGTGACCCCAAATCCATCCGCTAAAGTCTCAACCCTAGTGCCTCAGCATGTGACTATATTTTAGGTACAGACTTTAAAAAGATGGCTGTTAAAATGAGGCCCTTTAGGATGGGCCCGAATCCAATCTGCCTGATGTTATGAGAAGGGGAGACCGGGACACGCAGAGGGACACCAGGGGCTCCCTGCGGTGAGCCCAGAGGACAGACCACTAAAGTCCTAGTGCAGCAGTACACCCTCATCAAGGACCCTGGTTCTCTGAGAAGTCACATCCTCGGGAAGGATGTTTCTCACAGCTTCTGGTTTTCACACTTAGACATATTTATGCCCATATACCGTCAGTTTATTAACGAGATTTGGTTAATGTGGTGAGATGGAAGGAACCAGCTGGGGGGCCCCTTCATGCGGAAGAGGGAAGCCTTGAGGAAGGAGGGAGGATGCACAGGAGGAATGTGGGGGGGGGGCCTGAGGGACTGGGGAGGGAAGTGAAGGTGGCTGGAGCCCAGGAGGGAGTGCAGCAGCAGGGAGAGGCCAGGGGGCTGAGGATGCCCTCACCTAAGAATATTCTCAAGCTCTGTGGCCAGGAAATCATTATCTCTTAATAGATCCCAACTCTGGAAGCGCATCCCATTGTGGTCCACAAAGGTGTCCCAACAGTATTCATAATCTAAGATAAAGAGGGAAGAGGGCAGTCAGGTGGGCCCTGGGAGGCCTTCTGCTCCTGACCCTCCCATGCCCTCCCTGCCAGGCGCCACCAATCCTGCCTCAGTTTCCCAGGCTCTCCTCCCACTCACTCTCCCTAGGGATAGTCTAGATCCTTCACCAACCCCACCCCCCACCCCAGTCCTATTCCCTCCCACAGTCTTGCCCCCCAGCTCCTTCTGCTCTCACCTTCAAAAGACATGATGTCCAGGTGGACCCCTGCAGACCATAGCCTGTAAAGCCCGTCCTGGAAATGTGGGTGCCAGAAGTAGTAGAGGCGGGCGGTGAAGATGCTCAGCGTCACGTTCCTGTATTCCCTCAGGAATCTGACCACCTCCTCTGCACAGGTGGGGCAGGGGCTCCAGGATAAGAACCAGGTGACATGGTAATGCTCGTCAGGGGACAGATTCTGGTCACAGAACCAAGAGAGGAAGCAGAATTCTGCGTGGTAGCAAGCCTCGAAATAGACCTGGGAGAGGTAGAGAAGAGAAGGGGATACTCTTGGCTGGCAGAGCAGGCAGTTTGGCAGGGCTGGGTGCCATGGGGGGAGGGGGAGGGCGCAGGAGTCACAGGGGCATGTTGTTCATTGATTCATCCCTCCTTTCCATCTCTCCCCACACTGTCTCTTCTGACTGAGCCATTCCTTCCCACAGTCATCGACATCAATTCCAACATCAACTCTCCATCCATCCATCCATCCACCTATCCATCCATCCATCCACCCACCCACCTGTCCATCCATCCATCCAACCATCCATCCATCCATCCAACCATCCATCCACCTATCCATCCATCCACCCACTCACCCACCCATCCATCCATCCATCCATCCATCCACCTATCCATCCATCCACCCACCCACCCGTCCAACCATCCATCCATCCATCCATCCATCCATCCATCCATCCACCTATCCATCCACCCATCCTACAGACATCCTACTGGCCCCGGGCCAGGCCCTCTGGGGTCCAGGCTGGTTCCGTGGGTGCTGTCTGCTGGGGAAGGCCACACAGCCATGCTGCCCCACAGGAGAGCCACTAGCCCCACTTGTCTCCAGAGCACTTGACATGTGGCTGAGAAGTGGGGCAAGTGTAAAATACACATCTCGTTCCAACGACATAGTAAAAAAGATGAATGTAAATGACCTCATGGAAGAATTTTTATATTAATTATAATTTGAAATAATCTCTTAGATATATTACCCAATACATTATCAATACTAAGTTCATCAGTTTATCTTAACTCTTTAAACACTGGGTACTAGAAAACGTTAAATGACATACGTGACTTGGATGATGTTTCTGTGGGTTAGTACTGGGGTACCCTTGACCTGCCCATAACGGCTCTCTTCTGCAAAGAGGCTTTGAAAAGCCTGCAGTGTCAGGAGAGAGGAGAGGGCAGGGGTGTGGTGGGGTGGGACATCTCTCAGGAGTGGCAGGTGGTTAGGGGGCAGGGCTGCAGGAAGGTGGCCTGGCTCCAGCAACTGCTGAAGCTGGTCATGGGTGCCATGGCAGCCTTCCAGGGACACCTGGGCTGTGGCTGGGAGCAGGCCGGGGGCGGGCAGATGAGGGGTACGGGCTCTCTCCTGAGGGATCACAGGTCCTGGGTCTGGATGAGTCAGTGGTGCGGCCGCGGCCAAGGACTCGACCGGCAGAACCATTACTAGGGCAGAAAAGGCTCTGGTGTCCAATCGGCCCCGACTTTCTAGACATGCTCTTTTATCAAAGCCTGCTAGAGGCCAAGCTCCATGACAAGACTCGGAGATGAATGCAGGTGGACTCTCTGAACAAGACCCACAGGCTACGTCAAACGGCATCCTGTATCCATTTCCAGGAGGGCCAAGCAGGGCACTCTTGGGTCAAAGACTTAGAACAATGTTGGGGGAAGGAGCATGCACCATGGAGAGCCCCACCTGACATCTTATTCCATTCTTTTCCACCTTCCCAATGGACTCAGCTCCTGCCTCTTAACAGGCCTTACCTTGTTTTTAAAGACCCCCCAGTCATAGGAGGGGGGCCCCTCCCCCTCTCTTTTCACTTGGAAGCAGAGGTAGCAGGATTTCCGCCCGTAAGCGTAGAGCAGGCTTGGGAAGTGGAAGAAGAAGGTTCCAGGACGTATCCACTCCATTGGGTCTCTGGGGGCGAAAGACAGAAAACCAAAAATGCGGAGAGTGCTCTCTGGAGTTGTCCCTGGCCCATGGCCTCCCCTGGGCACAGGGTCTCCCTGCCCTGCCCCCACTCCAGGGCCCTGAGCCTTGTCTGCCGCTTTTCCAGGCTGGACTGTTGGGGGGGGGCTGCTGCCGGGGACAGCGGGGGGACGGGGGACCCCTCCCACCGGGGCCCCTGCGGGCCTGCTTCTTCCAGCCATGCTGGTTTTCCTGCCCATTCATCCCCCAACCCATTAGAAAAATTGCAAAGAGAAATAGGAAGCCTCCATCCCCAGAGAACGGCTTTTCTAATACTTTACTTCAATTCGTTCCTGATTTTTTTAACCTATGTGTTAAAAAAAAAAAAAAGTATCAGGTTAATACATACCTTCAGAGGTTCAGGTTACTATTCTAAGTGCTTTAAATATCTGAACTCACAGAGTCCTCCCCAGATCCCATGAGAGCCAACCCCACCCTCGAGGGAAGGAAGGTGGGCAGGAGGTGGAGCAGCCTGGGCAAGCCCAGGGCTAGTGAGTGATGGGGCCCTGGCTCCCCAGGCTGGCTATTTCCTGCAGGGACCTCCCATGACTGCAGTGGCAGCAGCCTGCAGTCCTGCCTGGGTCTTTTTCTCGACTTCATTGTAAATATGTGCATTTCTCCCAACCATGGCATCTTTCCCCCAGCTGCAGGTCAGTGGTCCTTACGAACATGAAGCCTGAAGCTCGGTCACCAAGGTTGGGGGTACGGTTGAGAACAGGTTGCATTTATGTGTCTGCCCGTGATTGGGAGAGCCCTGCAATAGGTGACTTCTCTTCTTGCCTCCGAGAGCTAGCCTCACACGGTGTTTATAATGGTGTAAAAATTATAGAAAATCAATCAAAGTGCTTTAAACTAAACCCACCCACTTCTTCACTCATGCTTTAGTTAAATTCTAAGCGCTAAGAGAGCACAGAAACTTCCAGAAGCCTCAGAGAGTGGCATCACCCGGCATAGTCTGGGAGGGGCAGGCTCGACAGACTTTCAGACCCAGAAGTTGGCCTGGAGGACCCTGGGGCTGGGCGGAGGTGCGGGAGGGGCGTGTTCAGAAGCAATATTGCGAGCATCCCCAGGATAGGGTGAGGACCCAGGCAGGAGTGGATCCTGCAGAGAAGGAGCCCAGAGAGGAAGAGAAAGGAAGCAGGACCACAGGGAGGAGGAAGAGGCCAAGGACAGAAGCACACAAGGGCAGGGCCACCAGGAAGGAGGGGCTGCAGAAGGGGGCCCAGTTGGGGGGGGTGGCGCGGACAGAGGAGCAGGGGTACCTTGGGCGGTGGCGCCAGGGCTCCATTCTTCTCACCGGCTTTGCTTTAGGAAAGTACCCCCCGCGGGATCTGAGACCTCCTAGGCCGCCTCCACCGAGGCCCCACCTCCTTCCTGCTTTGGCTTCGGGGGTGGGAGGGCCCTCGGGTGGTTGCACTTCCTTGGGCTCAGACCCACCTTCTCTCCTTCTCCGAGCGCGCCCCCCGCAACCACGTGGGCAGAGCTGCCCTCGGTGCAACAGGATCCAAGTTATTGCAGAGAAAGAGAAAGTAGGATGCCAGAGGAGGTTGGGAGAGCCTGGCTGGAGAGAGCTGGACGGAGGCAGGCGGGAGGCCGGCTCCAGGCAGAGGCAGACCCTGGAGGAGCAGAGTGAGCCCCCTCCTCATCACCCCTGTGCTCCCAAGTCTAGACCCAGGTGTTGCTCTCCACCTGTCTGCTGGATGAGTGGAAGAGAAAAGGAAGTGTGGATCTCGTGTCAGGACTCTGGTGTTTTCTTCTGATTCCACAGCAGTGAGGGCACAGACGTGCTTTGCGCTCCTAGTTCTGTGGTGGGTCCTCTGCCTAAGGGCCCTCAGCCTTTACCTGACAGAGCCAGGGGAGAGGGAGAGATGGAGAAGGAGGGGACAGCTTTAGTTTCTCTTCCTCCTCTTAGGACACTAATCCCCTCATGGGGTCCCACTCTCATGATATTGTCTAAACCTAATCACCCCAAAGAACCCCCCTTTCCAAACACCACCACACTGGGGTTTAGGGCTTCAACATATGAATTTGGGGGACACAAACATTCGGCTCATAACAGTTGTGACTGACAGGATTCCCTTCGCTGACTCAGGGACAATATGGCTGACCCTGTCATACTGCTGCATGAGGGGTGAGTGTTGCCTTATACCTGGAGCTGAACCTCCAGGCTCTGTGGCTGCCTTTCTGGAGGTTGGAGGTCAGAGGCTGTGTTCCCTGCTACCTCATGGGAGGCCCAGAATGTTAGTGATGGTAGCTGGGCCAGTGCTGCCCCTAGTGGGATGGGGATTTCCTGGTGGGAATAAAAGAAGCAGGGCGCCTGGGTGGCTCAGTTGGTTAAGCGACTGCCTTCGGCTCAGGTCATAATCCTGGAGTCCCAGGATCGAGTCCCGCATCGGGCTCCCTGCTCAGCAGGGAGTCTGCTTCTCCCTCTGACCCAACCCCCTCTCATGCTCTCTCTCATTCTCTCTCTCAAATAAATAAATAAAATCTTTAAAAAAAAAAAAAAAAGAAGCAAAGACACGTTGGCTGGGAAGTAGATTCATAGTGATGCAAATTAGAGGAGCTGTCCCTGAAGCTGGTGTCTCAGGTGGAGACTGTGGGGAGTCCTCACCCTCTGCCCCGGGTGTAATCTTGACAAAGGAGTGATGGACACTGGGTCCCTCCTGTTGCCTCCCCAGCCTGGGCTCTTTGGCTGTGCAAATTCCCTTGGCTGCTTCTTTACCTTTTATTATAAGGCCCAGCCTTGACACAGGCATTTCCATGCTATCATGGAGGTAGTTCCCCCTGGGCACTGTCTCGTCTTTGTTAGAGAGAAAGAAAAAGAGAGGGAGAGAAATTTTGGGAAGCATAGATATCTTTGTAGCACTGAGGTCTCTATCCATTAACATGGTATATACCTCAATTTATATAGGTCTTCTTTTTATGTTTTCAGTGAGTCTTGCACTTTTTCATAAAGGTCTCACACATTTTGTTAGGTTCACTTCTAGTAAACTTTTTGGGAGCTACTGTAGGCTTCATCTACCTTTATACTTTTCGTTTGTTGCTAGTATCTGGGAACACTCTTAATTTTCCTAAATTGAAGTTGGATCTACCACCTCGCTGAGAACTTGCTTACTATTTCTAGTAGTTTCTGTTCTTTTTGCAATCCCCACAGCTCTTGTCCTTTATTGTGGCTCCTGGGACACTGGCTTGGACAACAGCACAGTGTTGAACAGTAGCAGTCATAAAGTGGACTCTTCTGTCCTTCCATTTTAAGGGAAATTCTCCTAAGAGGGAAATAGAAAATTGTAAGTCCCAGGGCGCCTGGGTGGCTCAGTCGGTTAAACGTCTGCCTTCGGCTCAGGTCGTGATCCCAGGGTCCTCTGATCGGGTTCTGCATCAGGCTCCAGGGAGTCTTCTCTCTCTGTCCCTCCCCACAATAAAAATAAATAAAATCTTTAAAAAGAAAAGAAAATTGTAACACCCATGTTCTTTATTTATCTTTTTTTTTAAATAATTTTTTTTAGTATAGTTGAAGTCCTATAGTCTTTAAATCTTTCTTGGCCTGAACATTTGTTTGGTAACAGTTTAATTATGATTTTTGCATCTGTGTTTATAAATAAATATGGCCATAATTTTTCTTACTCATGTTCTTATTCAGTTTTTTTTTTTAAGTAATCTCTACACCAAACATGGGGCTCAAACCCACAACCCTAAGACCAAGAGTCACATGCTCCACTGACTGAGCCAGCCAGGTGCCCTCTTCTTATTTAGTTTTAAATCAAGAATATTATACCTGCCCAAAATCAACTGGGGAGTTTAACTTTTTTCCAGTTTCCAAGGAAAGTTCAATTCTGATCCTTACACGGTTGATTGAACTTATCATAAAACCTCTGGAGCTGGTAATTTGATATGGTTGTTTATGTGGTCATTTTAAGTAAAAATTGCATTTCTTTAATGGCTTATGGTTAACCCGTGTGTTGTATTTCTTTTGGTGTCATTTTTATCATATTTTTTCTGGAAGGTTGTCCATTCCATCTCATTTTCAAACTGATTGGTGTGTGTTCATAGTATTCTCTTCTGACTTTCTACACTTCTATAAAAGACAACCCCAGGGGCACCTGGCTGACTCAATCGGTGGAGCATGGGACTCTTGATCTTGGGTTCATGAATTTGAGTTCCACATTGAGTATAGCAATTACTTCAAAATCTTTAAAAAAAAAACATTTTTTACTCATAATTTAGTTTATTGTTGCTTTCTCTCTTGTTTTTTTCAAAGTACTAGGTTTTGATTTTAATGTTTTTGTTATTCCTTTTTCATATATATACATATATTTTTTCATATATATATATTTTTCATATATGTATATATATATATATAAAATCTCCCACATTTTCTTTCTCTACCCATCAGTCAGCTGGGCATGTAAGTTGTTTCCACATCCTGGCTATTGTGAATAATGCTGCAGTGAACGTAGAGTTGCAAATATCTCTTCAAAATACTGATTTTGTTTCCTTTGGATTTTGTCACAAGCATGCTAGGCAGGTGCACACATGAGTCGTCTTCCCGCAACGCCAGCTTTGGTCAGCCATAAAGCAAGATTAACGTAATTGTAAAGCAAGTTCAGGATTCCAAACTCAATGACATTTCATATGCATTTAACTTGGCTTTATACATGTCACACCAAGCAAAGCACAAGACAGGGTCACACAACAAACAAGATACAAGGGTTAAGAAGTAATGAACCAAACTCGAAGTCAGTCTGTGGGCGCACAGTTGAGACGAGGCCTCCATCCAGTCAAGGTCAGCTCTTGACACTTGCTGCTTATTAAGGTCAAGCAGTGGAGGATCTGTGTTATGTTCAGAGATCAACTGGGCAGAGCCTTCGGCCACATTTGCCTTTTTGATGCGGCCAGATGTAAAAGGATCAGCATCTGGAGAGATGGACAGTTCGCTACGGTTCCTTTTAAAACTCCTTTGGAGTTTAATCAGCCTTTGCCCTTTGATCTGCTGGTTATCAGTGCTGGGGGTTGTCAGCCTGTGCTGGTTTCGAGGATATTTGGTCTTACCTGCAGCACCCTTGTCTGCTTACATCACCACTTGACATGAGTCACTGCTTGACATGAGTGACTCTATCTTGCTCTCTACAGAGCTATCTTGCTTTATATACCCAGAGGTGGGATTGCTGGGTCATATGGAACATACAAGGACTTCTTATGGGACTCTGACCTTATGCCATTGTAGGAGCAGGTTAAGCAGTGTCTGTAAGGTGTCGTCTTTATGAAGTCCATGGGACAAGCACTTTGTGATGGGACGGCGGATGTAGGGTGTGGGAGAGCAAGGACAAACTGGAGCCTAAAGGATGAGCTCTAGAGCTTGTGAGGATGGGCAGAAACCCATGTCCTTGTTCCTGCCCCTGACTTTAGTGGTTTAGGTGTCCTGTGGGGTCCTGTTAAAAACAAACCTCAACTGAGTAAATTTGAAGATCTAATTGGCTTCATTAAATGCTTCAAGAATTGGGCAGCATCCCACTTTCCCACTTAGCAAGTAGAGATACTCTGAGGCATTGTACCAGTGGAGGTTTTCATAGGTAGAGGGTGGAGCAAGGAAGTTGTTAGCAAAACAAAAGAAAGGGTTGTTTCAGGCCAGGACATCTTCTTTTGGGGAGAAGGGACCAGTAGGGTTTTTTATCAAGCAGATGACCTCACTAGTGCTGATTACAAAATTTCAGATTGACTGTTAAAAGGTCACATTCTTAGGATAGATTGAGCCTGCAATTGAGTCTTGGCTTGATGTCACGGGGAGCAACCGACTCCATTTTGTGTTTGTTTTTTTCTTTCTTAACACTTCCTCTGCCACAGGGTTAGCAAACACACCCCACTTCAGGGTGGGAGAAGCTCAAGGAGGATGTGGGGGAGGTTCTTACAGTTGTGGTTTCACACTAAGGAAGTGAGTCAAATCAGCACCTCAACATGGGCGCCTGTTAGAAAAGGTTGCTTTTGCACAGCGTCCCACTCAATTGGCCAAACTAAACTCTCTTGTGGCCCACCTCTATCTAAGACTACTGTTAAGGGGAATTCGGGCAAATATAGTTCAGCCTGGCCAAGTCCATCCATCAGAGCTGCTGCAAGTGGGCAGAACCCTGAGGATGCCTCTGGGATTACATGGAATCTACAGAATTGACATTTTAACAATATGGAGCCTTCTGATCCATGCACATGGTATATCTCTCCTTTTTTTTTTTTAACATCTTCTTTGCTTTTTCTTAATAATGTTTTGTAGTTTTCTTTTTTTTATTTTTCTTTTTTTTTAATTTTTTTTTAAAGATTTTTTTTATTTATTTGACAGAGAGAGAGATAGCGAGAGCAGGAACACAAGCAGGGGGAGTGGGAGAGGGAGAAGCAGGCTTCCCTCAGAGCAGGGAGCCCGATGTGGGACTCGATCCCAGGACCCTGGGATCATGACCTGAGCCGAAGGCAGACGCTTAACGACTGAGCCACCCAGGCGCCCAATGTTTTGTAGTTTTCAGGGTATGGATCTGACACTTTCGCAAGATGATATTTAGTGCTGCTTTCAGAGAGAGATTTTTAGTAATAGGTAACAGCAAACCCTCCTATCAAGTTTACTATAGGTCAGGCACTCTTCATAATATATGTAGATATAAATATAAACAAATTCATTTAAGCCTCACAAACATCTAGGTAAAAGTTGTGTTATTATCTCCAATTTATATGCCTATAATTTGGCTAAAGAACTTGCCAGATGTCATAATCTAGCAAGCGGTAGGGGCAGGATTGGAATTCAGGCAGCTGGCTTCCAGAGTCCCTCCTCTAGCCACTACTCTATACTGCTGGGTAATAGCTGCTGGTGTTCACACAATAACAAAGAAAATCAAGACTGATGCTTTGTGAATGTAAGATTTTAAATCTTACATTCAGATTTGTTGAACTAGTTCTTTGAACTAATTTCGTGACACAGCAAGATCTCTCTCCCTCAATTGTTGTGGTGGCAGGGAGGGATATTTTCATCCCTATCTTACATTATTCTGTATTTATGAAGATTTGCAGATTTTTTAGAATGAGGCTGTGAAACATCATTAGTTAGCAGGAAAGCCAATAGAAGGCTGGTAGGGCCAAATCTTAGAAAAATAAAGGGAGTGGGGGAAGGTGGACAGGATTTCCCTTGAAAAGAGTCTAAAACAAAGGCCCTACCCCATTTCCTCCCTGATAATCAGGGAATACACACTAGGACCAATACCAGAGCCCATATCTGATTGGAAAACATTGAAGAGACTAACTGAATGAGTCAATGAGGGATGTTCTGGGGGAAGAACGTCACCCTGGTGAAGCTGGGCTCCGGTGACCTCAGTTCCTCCTATGCCCCTTATGGCCTCCTGAGCTCTGCCACAGTCACCTGCCTGCAGCCAGTGCCCATGACAGCAGAGCTGATAAAGGAAGTGCTGTGTGCTCACTGGATGGAATATCCTGCAGCCAGGAGAACTGATGATCTACAACCACCAGAAACAGGACACTCCTAAAGGCCTGAATAGGATGGGCAGGAGGCATGGGAGAAGATATTTTCTTTCTCACTCTACTGATTACAAATTGCTTGGGTGTTTTAGTAGATGCCAGCACTACTAAAAAAATTTTTTTTAAATATACAAGAATGGGTTCCCAATAGCTTTTGTTATTGTGGTAACTAATATACCCCATGACTATTTTAAGGGGTTCTCCTTTGATGGGGCCCAGTTGAAAGGCAAGGGCACAGCCTGTGACCAGAGTTGCTGAGCCAAGGACTGAGTGAGCAGTGGGGTGGAACAGAGCCTCCAACCATTGTCTCGACAGGTGCGTGCTCTTTCCCAAGACGTACTCAGCTGGGCATCAGAGGGCAAGTGGGCCGTGGCAGCTACTCCAATAGCAGCTGGATATCAACATGAGGGAGCAAAGGATGCTGTTTCCTGCTCTAAAAGAGCAAGGATGAAAAGACAGACTCTAAATTCTGAGGAGCTCAGAAAGACACCCAGACACAGGGACACAGTGGGGCGACAGCAGTCTGTGGTGATCCAGGGACATGGCTCAGGGACCAAGGTGGCATCTCAAAGAAGGGCTTTTTCAGGCCGTGGTCATTCGAGGTGACTCATGCCAGGGCATCTTGGAGAGGAAAGTCCCAGAGGGTCGAAGGAGAAGCTAAAGGCCTTAATTCATGCTGAATCTAAGAGAGACAAAGAAAAATGAAGTCTAGTAGTCAGAGGTGAAGCTCCAAGGAAGGAGAGAGGCAACCATGAGGGAGAAGAGGAGAAAAGTGGAGTGGGAGACAAAAATCAGGATCAGACAGGAAGGTACAGCACTCTGGGCAGATGGAGACAAGCAAAGCATCCAAGACAAGAAAAATGGAAGAAGACAGGGAGAGAGGGAGGGAGACACAGAAGAAGGAACAGACAGACAGAAGGACAGGGAACTGACCGGGGACAGCAGAGCGAAGCTGAAGGGAGCACAAGGACCGGAAAGAGGCAGCAGGAACCTGGGGGAGAAAGGAGGGCCTCCCCTAAGGGGAGGAAGGGCCAGTGACGGGGGCCATGGGCGAGAGAGGGGCCGAGGGCGTCCCACCGCACGACCCTTCCAGCACCTGGGTGCAGGCCGCACCACGGCTCACAGGCCTCCGTGGGGTCCCTGAGTCCTGCCAGCATCCTGTGAACTCTGTGGTGTGAGAGGACACAGGCAGCTTCCCTGCAGGAAGCAGAGGCTGCCCACCACACACGCCCCCGGCTGGCCCCTCGCCCTCACAGGGGCGCTGAAATTGTCCCCGTGTCACCTACCCCGGACCCTGCCCCCACACTCCCCACAGGCCAGAATCCGCCCTCTGGGGGCTGGCTGGGCACTCCCACCACCCCTGCCGGGCCGCTGATCCCGGGAAACCCTCCACCCCGTGCTGGGCCCCAGCTCCTGCCCATCTGCGGGGATGACCTGTGGTGGCGGGTCCGGGCTACAGAGTCCTCAGGCAAGGGTCTCTGTGCTCAGGTCAGGAACCTAGACCTTCTGGGCACAATCAGAACCAGGGCTCTGGGAAATGTACCACGGGACCCGGCAGCCCCTGTGTGCTTCCAGCTTCCCCCCAGAATGTTCTCCAAGCGTGTGGGCCACATTTCCACACGGCGAGATTCCCGCCCACGGAGAAGGCAAGGCCGGGTCGGTCCTTCACTGTGTCCCCCAGCCATTCAACAGCACCCGGGAGCCCGGACTCGGGGTCCCACCCCGGCGGGAACCTGGCATGCAAGGATGGGCCAGGCACCGTCCTGCCCTCGAGGAGATCGCAGTCTGGAGCAGACAGGGGAGGACCCGGTGACCACAGCTCTCCATCCCACGGACCCCCCTCTATCCGCCCGCATACCCCGCAGTCTGGACTTGGCCCCGCCAGCCGAGGGGACGACTCAGGACGGGGTGTCCACCTTTGTCGTCCCCCCCGCCCCCGCCCCCGCCACGCCGCCAGGCCCTCTGCGCTGCACGTGCTGGGAGGACAGGGGTGTGGTTGAGAAGAGCCCTCCGACAGCTGCACTTCTCTCCCTGCACGTCCCTGCCCGGGGCCTGACTGTGAAGAACACGGTTGTGAAGCCAGACGGGCATCACTGGCCAGTTGCACCAGATGGTAACGTAGGTAAGCCTTGGGCCACCCGCCGCCTGTCCGAGAAAGACAAAGTCTTCCGGGGGCATCTGGCTACTGGAGGCAGGAAAAAGGAAGGGACAGAGGGCTTTCTGGGGTCCAGGCAGGTGCTTTTTTGTCTCTGGGTCTCCAACCACTGGGACCAGCCTGGGAAGCTTTTTGTGGCCTTTGCTGGTGGCCCCTGGGCAGCCCAGCCCTGAATTCAGCTGGTCCTTGTGGGCACATCTCATGCTTTTCTCTGTGGGGGTTGGGGACATGGTCACCCCTGAGACCCAGAGGCTGCCTGCTCCCTCCCTCAGGGCCCCTATGTGTGATGACTGTCCCCAGGGCCCCCGCCCCAGGTCGCTGATCCTCTGTCCCCCTGGCCACTGGGCTTCTCCCCTGCCCGTGGCCTCTGACCCCACGGGTCCCAACCTGAACCCCTTCTCCTTTAGGGAGCAGCTTTAGGTGGCCAACAGGGGACCCTCTAACTGGGTGACTCTGCTGAGCCCAGCTGTGGCAGGTGGGGCCTTCCTCCAGAGTGATGCGAGCTCAGGAACACAGCGCAGGGATTTTGTTCCAGAATAGTGGCCGGGCTTGGTTTGGGGCTGAGCTGCTCCCAGGCCGCCGGCGGGTCCTGTTCCTCCCCTGGCAGGACACCCCAGACGCAGGAGCGCCTGGGGTGGGGGGTGTCCCCAGGCGCCTCTCACAGCCTCCAGTGGGGGAGGAGCTCCAAGCAGGTTGTCACAGGAAAGTCTGTCCAAGCGCACCGAAGCTTCAGCATCCAGTCTTTGGGGATTTCCTCCCACCATCTGTCCAAAATGCCAGAGCATCTATAAAACTCAGCGCCGCAGCCTTCTTGAGAATACCAAACATTTGGAAAGAACCTCAGTGTGCTCCATTAGAGGATTGTTTGGCGCAAGCGAATCAAGGCTTCTCCGCACATAGAAGATTGGGTATTACTCGTCCTTTTGAATATGGATGCCGTCCTCCCAGTATTGCAAGAGTATGCATTCCTTTTATGACATGTTTCAGACTTGGGGGAACGAGTATGACATGCTGGGGGCGGGGGTTGGGAAGCAGGCCTGCAGGTGTGGGCACAGTCTGGTTTCAGGTGCGGGGCAGCGGACCCCCCGCGGGCCAGAGCCCGCTCCCAGGGCTGTGCCTGTCTTCCTCCCTCGAGTCCCTTCCCCTCCTGAGTCTGAGCTGGAAGTCAGGGGTGACAGGTTTTCCCGAACCTTACGGCCGGCAGGAAACGGGGGGCACGGGGGCCAGGTCGGCTGTCTTGTGTCTATTTCTGAAGTCGGGTGTGGGCACTGGTGCTCACATGGCATCCTACTTAAAGCTTTATTTAAATAAACGACCGAGAGAGCATGTGAATGGTGGGCTTATAATGTGACAGGGGAGCGACTTAGATGGTTGGGAAAGTACCGTCTGTGAAAACACAGGACAAGTGGGCTTCCTTTCCGAAAAGTAATGTTTCCTGGAGGAGCCTGTATAACTTCATCTTCCCCTAAAAAGGAGCCCCTTGCTTTTTGCTTTTGAACATGGCATCTGAAATTAGGATGTTGCTCGTCAAATTGCATAAACCTCTATACTTACCACGGAACCACTCTGGCGAGGCCCCAACGCTGCCCGCCCAGCACGGCCTCCCAGCCCCTGGCTGCTCAAGCCGGGGGCCAGAACGGGCAGGACAGGGGCGGATTTGTGGACTGAGGGATCCCCAGAAGCAGAGACACCCCCTCTGTCCTGCACCAGCCTCATCGTGTGTGGACGAACAGCCCTGTCCCACCTTGTCCTAAGCCCTGGACGCTGACCGGTCCCGCAGCCCCCGGTCACTCCCTATTACTCTCAGTATGGTCCAGGTCCCCAGTGGGAACCGTGCTTCTGGGGTCTCCCGTCTGCCCCCGTCCAGGGAAGGGCACGGCCCTTGTCCACTGAAGGACGCCCAGGCTCCGAAGCCGTGGGGTCTGTCCCCCTCCTCTCTTCCCCCAGGAGTGAGCCACGCAGGCTGCAGGAGGTGCTGTGTGGGGGCAGGCTGCCACTGGGGCCCCGGGAGCCCAGCAGGAGAAGACAGGCACCTGGAGGGGAGCTGGGGAGCAGGGGCCAGGATGGGGGGGCAGGTGCAGACGGCAGCGCTGAGCTCCCTCCCCTCCTGCCTCCTGGGATAGGGCCCCTAAGTCCAGCCCCTGGGGGCAGCTCTCCCTGGCTGGCAGCCCCGCTCCCCCAGCGCCCCGTCCTTAGGCCTCCACGGCAGCTCTGGGCCCCCGGGGTGCGCCTGTCCTCTGCTTTCTACCCTCTCTCTGGGTCACTTCGCTCCCCCAGCTCCTCCCCTTTGGGGTGCCTGCCCTCCCCGACGACGGAGCCCCATTCCTGCCCGCTGGCCCACGGTGCTCTAGCCCTCCCTCTCCGTCCCTCCCTTGTCTCAACCCGAATGATGCCTCTCCCCAGCCCCTTACACTCACTGTGTGAGGCTGGGACACCCCTTGGGCCCTGACAGGGCCGCAGAAATCTGTGAGGAGGGACCGGGGCGTTGCGCTGGGCCTCAGGAAGGCCTGCGCAGACCCACCGGCTGCCAGGGCCCCGCTCGGGGGCTGTGGACCCCACAGAGAAGAGCGCGAGGGCGGGGCCAGGCCTGTGGGGCGTCCGGCCCTGCGGCCTGTCCTGTGTGGGCCCTGACCCTGACCCGGGGGCTCTGTCCCCGGGGCCCTGGGTCACGAAGGGGCAGAGCCTAGCTTCCGAGCAGGGAAGCCCCTGCCTCTGGCTTCCTCTCTAGGGCAG